TCATTCTCATCAAGCAAATGCTTTTCTCTTTCATTGTGTAGTAAGCATCAAATTCAAAGTGGCACACTAGATCATAAATATATATATATATATATATATAAACTTTAATTCCTAAATAGGCATTTTTTGAAAAATTATTTTTGGGACTTGTAACTACTTACAAGTTATTAAAATCGATTACGTCTCTTTGTTGTATAAAATTACCTTTCAAGCCAAACTAAGTAAAAAAATTACTTTTCAAGCCAAACCAACCCAAAGTTATAAATAGCACAAATTACAAAATTCATTTTTTGGAGAAAGCCCATTCACATGGACCAAGGCCGAAGAGAAAAAGGCCCACTGCGTCGCCCTAGAAAAGCCCTCCGCCGGGAATTCCCCTATCCACGTTTGACCTCGGAAAGTTGGAAGAGCATCACGACGAATTTGCTCAGTGCTACTCACTGTCTCTTTCCGGCCTCACGAAAACCCACTAGATTCTGCAAATCCTCCACGGAGAGATGGGTGTGGAGGTAGAGAGACTCACATTACGGGTCACAGACATTCCCCAAACCATTATAGCCAAAGACCTCTTGCACTTCCTCGAGTCCAAACTCGGTTCTGACTCAGTCTTTGCCATTGAAATCTCCACGGACCGCAACAACTGGAAGTCTCGGGGCTTTGGGAGGGTACAGTTCTCTACACCAGAGGCTTTGTCTAAAGCTCGTCTTCTCTCCCTCCAGAACGGGCTCGTTTTCAAGTCCCAAAGTCTGAAGCTTTCCGACACTTACGATGATATCATTGCACGACCCATCAGGGCGGGGCAAAGGATCGAGGATGGGATTTTGGATATGGGGTTTATGGTCCGGGAGGATCGCTTGTGTGTGGTGGAAAGTTGGCAAGGCGTCAGGGGTTGGGTGATGCCCCAGAAGAGAAGGGTGGAGTTCTGGTTTTGGAGTAAAGGGGAGTGTTACAAGCTTGATGTGATGTTCGATGATATTTTGGAGGCTGTTGGGTGTTGCTTGAATGGCTCTTCCAAATTGAATGCTCTTCTCTTGAGGGTATGCTCTTTTCTCCTGTTAAAAAGTTCCCATTTTTTCATTTATACTTGATTACAATGTCGATTAATTGCTAAAGTATTCGACTCTTCAGCACTTCCTTAGCAAGATATGTTTTTTTTTTTTTTGGTAAAATGTAAATTTATTGCCTAAAACACAATGATACAAAGCAACGCACAGAAAGTTGATACTGGGTTCTCTGTGCAATGGATGAATCAATTAAAAGAAAAGAAAAGAAAAGAAAAGAAAAGAAAGAGCAATGTAGCTAACTATCAAGTCTGTCTGTAAATAGGATTTCCAGCATGATATGGTTGATTATGTTGATGAGTGTCATTGCAAAATTAATCCCTTGAGAGGATGTCAGCAATTATGATTTATTTTTTCTGCTTCATTCCAAGTTCTTTTACCATTTTGGTTTGTTAATCAATGTGCTAGATAGGAAATTGGTGGCTTTGTTTTATGTTTGGGGTTTTCAGCTTGCTTGATAATTGTTGAGTTATAAACTTTAACCTGCTAGTATTGGTTATTTGGAAGAAGTTTGAGTTGGGTTTTTCCAATTTATGGTAGAGGAAATGAAGCTGTAATGCATTCCATGGCATGTGACTTAATAATGAGAAGAGGATGTTATTTGTTTATGAGACACTAAGTGGCTTGAATCTTTTGTGGCTTTTTGTAGTCATTTGGTTTCCAATATGAATGAAAATGAATGGTGATTTAGGATGAAAGGAGAAATGTGCATATAAAAATTATCATAGATCAAGTAGATTTAATGGATGCACACAAAATAAAAATATTGAACTTTCAAATTTTTACTAATAATGTAATTTTTCCATGTAAAAGATTGTGTTTTTAGAAAATCTTTTATGCGGAGCTCCATTACCATGCAAAGCTATTACAAGGAAAAGGTGAAAAAGGTAGGAATTTTTCAAGGAAAAATGCCATTGTATGATTGTTTTTATCGTCATTGTGCAATTGTCAGTGCTCATATTTGGAAAGGTATTGGTGGGGTTCAAATTGTGCACATGCCACTTTTTTCTTGTTTAATTTAAGTCTTACCTGAACTTGCACTGTTTACAGCTCAAGTATGGTCCAAGGATATATCAAAAGATATCGGGTCCTAATCTAGCCTCAAAATTTAATGCGGATCGGTACCATATTTGCAAGGAAGATTTTAACTTTCTTTGGGTTCGCACAACAGATTTTTCAATCATGAAGTCAATTGGACAATCAAATACATTTTGTTGGAGAATGGAAGAAGGATTATCAGCATTAGATCTTACATGTTTTCCATGTTATAAAGAAGACATGAAAGGTCTTATGTTG